GTTAGACGGAGGCTCAGAATCCTTGCCTCCAAGGAGCCACCCGGTTTAACCCTTTCCAGGACAAATCTGTTTGTTTTCCTCGCTTCGGCAGCACATATACTAAAATTGGAACGATACAGAGAAGATTAGCATGGCCCCTGCGCAAGGATGACACGCAAATTCGTGAAGCGTTCCTTTCTTTATAGAAAGAAAAAAATAATACACACAAACACACACACACACACATACACATACGAGTTTTAATGCTTTGCTTTTTCCTGGCATTGACATTTTTGAAATTACAGGACAATTATAGAGCTCTGGTGGCCTATTGTTGTTGTGTACCATCAAGTCAGAGCTGATCCATAGCTGGCCTTCTTGTGAGTTTTCAGAGGCAGTTAATCGCACAGGAGGAGATGACCCATCCTTCCCCATGGAGTAGCTAATGGATTTGTACCGTGTGCCTCTGGTATTGCAGTGCAGCTTCTTACCGCTAGGCAACCAGAGCACCTGTGTTGTTATTAAGTGCCATTGCATTGCCAATGACTCTTAGAAACCCTATCCTGAGCAAGCCAAACTGACTCCAAAACACCTAATCCCATTGCCCCAGTTATCATGTCAATCCATCTTATCTGGGGTCTTCCTCTCCTGTGCTGTCCCCTCACTCTTCCAAGCATGATGTCCTTCTCCAAAGACTGGTCCCTCCTGGCCACATGCCCAAAGTATGTGAGATGGAGCTTCAAAATCCTTGCCTCCAAGGAAAAAATATCACCTTCTCCAAACAGACCTGTTTGTTCTCTTGGCAGCCCATGGTATGTTCAAGACTCTTCTCTAGCACCACAACTCAAAGGCATCAAATCTTTTGTCATCCTTAATCATTTTCCAACTTTTTGATGTGTAGCAAGTGATTGCAAAGACCATAACTTGATTAGGTGCAACTTAGTCTCTAGACTGACATCATTGTTCTTTAGCACTTTGGAGAAGTCCCTAATAGCAGACTTACCCAATGCCATTTGTCTTTTGATTTCCTGTTGGTGCCAAAAGTGATGATTGTGGAGTGTAGCAAGCTGAAATTAACAACCTCAGTCTCTTTTCCATCCATCATGGTACTGCCAGTTGGCCCAGTGGTGACAATCTTCATCTTCTTGATGTTGAGCTTCAGTCCATATTGAAGACCTTCTGCAGCAAATACTTTGGACTTCCTCAGTTTCAGCAAGCAAGGTTGTATCATCTGCCTAACACAGGTTGTTGATGAGTCTTATCCTTATGCCACACTCCTCCTCATAAAATCTAGCCTCCTGAAAGAGCTGTTCTGCATATGGATTAAAAAATTGTATAGACAGGATGCATTCATGATGCACTTCGGTCCTCATTTTGAACTATGCAGTGTTTCCTTGCTCTTATCTGACAGGTGCCTCCTGGTCTAAGTATAGGTTTTACATAAGCTCCATAAAGTGTTCTGGGATTCCCATTCTTCTCAAGGTTAGCCACATTTTGTTGTCTACACAGTCACATGCCCTTGTGTTGTCAATAAAACACAGATATTCTCTGGTACTCTTTTCTTTCAGCCAAGATACGTCTCTAGTACTACAGCCTCTTGGAAACCCAGCTTGTGTTTCTGATAGTTCTCTTTTTGGCTAATATTCAGCAGGATTTTGCTTTTGTGTATGTGCGATAGTAATAATATTATTTGATATTTTCCACACTCTATTGTATCACCTTTTTTTCTGATAGGAATATATAGGGGTTTCTTCCAGTCACTTGGCCATATAGTAGTCCTCCCTATATCTTGGCACAATCTAATGAGCATGTATTTGGGGCAGCATCTGTTTGTTGAAATCTATCAATTAGTATCCCATCGTTTCCTGGGGTCTTGTGTTTTGCTTTTTCCTTCAGAGCAACTTGAACTTTCTCCTTCATCACCATTCCCTCTTGATCATATGTTTTTTCATTAAATTCTTCTGTATCAGCCAATTCTTTCTGGTACAGTGACGCTGTGTACTCTTTTTGTCTTCTTATAATGCTTCCTAGATCATTCAGTATTAGGCTCATAGCATCTTTACGTATTGCAACTAGAGGCTTGAATTATTTCTTCAGTTCCTTCAGCTTACAAAATACCCAGCAAGTCAAGTCCTTTAGATTTTCCTACTTCAGCTCTTTGCACATTTCATTATAATACTTTGTTTTTCTGTGCTGCCCTTTGAAATCTTCTGTCCAGCTCCTTAACTTCTATTATTATTATTATTTATTTTTATTATACTAGTTTATTTACAAAATTCAAATAACATTGTTTTCCAGACAGATTCTTCCAATTTCCCTCACCCCACTACCCATCAAATTGTTCAACCCCAGGGTTAATCCTCCCCTCCCCCTTTTGCTTTGGTTTCTTGGTGCTCTAGTAAAATATTCAGTCTTTTCTGACGTCTGTCTTGGTCTTTTTTTCTCCTTTATATTTGTAATGACCTTTTGCATTCTTCCTGGGTGATATTCTTGAGAGCGTTTCACAGCTCCTCTGGTCTTTGTTCAGTAGTGTTCAAAGTCTCAGACCTCTTCCTGAGGTAGTTTTTAGCTTTCAGTGATAAGAAATTGTGTTGGTAATAGAAAGGCAGGCAGTTTGAATTCACCATCTACTCTTTGAGAGAAATATGTGTAGTCTCTTCCTATACTATTTACTGCCTCTGAAAACCCACTGGAGGGTCAGTAAGGAGTCATTTCCAACTCAGCATTGCATAACAACAGGACATTTAAGGAGTTCTGGTGGTGTAGGCTATACATGGTTGCACTGACAACCCAAACACAAAATATTTCTATTTGGATTCACTAGCTTTTCCAAGGGAGAAAGATGGACAATTTCTCTGTGATTGTCAGCTTCCCCAAAGGTCAACTACGGGTCAGTTCCAACTTGATAGCAGTGAGTTTGGGTTTGGTAGGACAATTATATGGTAGATAACTTTAGTTGTAGTTTCTGATGATTAAATTTAGGAGTTTTGTGGGGAAGTTACTACAAAAGGTCTGGTGGTCTAGTAGTAAGAAGCTGTGCTACAATCCCAAAGGCGTGTAGTTTGGTGTCCACCAGCTGCTCCACTGAAGAAGGATGGGCAATCCCCCTTCTGTGTGATTTGCTGCCTTTAAAAACCCACTGGAGGATCAGCTGTGGGTTGGTTCCAACTCAGTGGTATCGAACAACAACTATAAAAGTTCTGTGGTGTTCTTTTTCAATGTAACACTTTGGTTTGTTACATTATTGGTAATATTAACATCTAACTTAAGGTTGGTTGTTTTTTTTCTTGTTAAATAGTTTGTGGGCAAAGATTTTGAGTCAAATGAACTTTTAACATCACGCATTGCTTATTCTTAATTTGGTTGTAGTATGAAGATTTCTGTAAATGCTAACTATTGCTCTAATTCCATTCCTTTTACACTTTTAGTTGATACTCTCTTGTAAGGAACAACTTCCTTATTATCATTGTGAGTCCGTAAAGCCTTAATGTATTCAGTGTGTTATAATCTATTATTGTTTAGTTTGATGTGCAGATTGCCCATAATTCAGCTAGCGGTAGCCAGGATGATCCTTAGAGGTGAGAACTGTAAGACTTTGACTCACATACATTGGACTTGGTCTCAAGAGGGTCTAGTTTCTAGTGGATGGGCTTTATGCTTAGTAAAGTAGAGGGTCATCTACAACGATGATGACCCTCAATGAGATGAATCGAGATATTGACTTCAATACTGGATTGAATCATAGCAGTCCTTACAGGTATAGTGGAAGATCAGGCATTGTTTCCATCTGTTGTACATGGAGTCAATGTTAGAACCAAATACATGTCTCTTTTGAGTGGTTTCTGAATTCTTTTTTTAAAAATCAGCTTTCTTGAGATGTAATTTACATATATTAAAATGCACTTACATCATTGTTAACCGCAAACCACTAGTCTGCTTTCTGTCACAATAGATTAGACTTGACACTTCTAGAATTTACAAAATGGAACTATACACATATAGCATATACTCTTCTGTATCATCTTGCTCATTTTGCATTTCTGATGTATTCATACTGTTCCATGTGTTGGTAGTTTTTTTCCTTGCCAAAATAGTATTATACTGAATGATTATGTTATTGAGTAAATGGATTCTGAGTTATGGCAGTTTTTTAGGACAGAGTAGAACTAACTGCCCAATAGAGTTTCTGTCTACCTCTCCATTAATTTTCTTTCCTTTGTTAGTAGTTGGGTTACATGGAATTTCTCCTGTTTTGGATTTGGCTAATTATTTTACCATGGTATAGTTTAATATCTTCTTTTATGTACCTTGTAATGTTGTTGTTGTTGTGTGCCGTCAAGTTGCTTGCAACTCATAGTGACCCTATGTACAACAGTCCTAAACTCTGCTCTGTCCTTTGCCAATGGCACTGTCTCCGATACACCCATCCCAGTCACTGAATCAATCCACCTCATAGAGGGCCTTCCCCCCCTGTGCTGTCTCTCCACCCTACCATGATGTCCTTCTCCAAGGACAGGTCCCTCCTTACAACATGTCCAAAGTATGTTAGATGTAGCCTCAGAATCCTTGCCTCCAAGGCAGCATGGGAGCTAGAAATTTGACTAGGTTTAAGTTCATTTTCTGTTTATGTGAATCTTCTAATGCATCATAGCAGAAAACAATAAAATATCTGACTCTCAAAGTTCTGTCAAGGATTAGCTGATTATATTAGCTGGATCCATCTATCATACTGAATGTCATCAATCTGTCACTTAACATGTTTGATTTCATTGAACAGTCATTTCCCAGATACATTAAGAGACTTTTCTCATACTTCAGAGAGTAGGAGACAGGAGGATGTATGGAAATAATAGAATGAGTGTTTGCTTCCATAATTTCCCATTGAAATCTTTTAAGTCAGATAATTTTTTAGGATTGTTTTTCTGTGAATAGTTAAGAACAAGAATGAAAATTTGATTACTATTTCCATTTAAATTTTATCAGTTTATTAAAAGTTTAAAAATAGGTGAGCTCTGGTGGCCTAGTGGCAAGAAGCTGCACTGCAATTCCAGAGGTGTACAGTTCAAATCCACCAGATGCTGAAGAAGGAGGAACAATCTCCTCCTGTACCAGTTAAATCCGATTTGATGGTACACATATAACAAATAATAATAATAAAAAAGTTTAAAAATAGAAAAAGTTGAAGCAGTTTTACAGTACCAGTCTAGTGACTGTCTAAATTTAGTATTAAAATAATTCATTCATCCATGTCTTGAATCATTTGAAAGTGACTTACAAATATCAAGAAATTTTTACATTGTCATTTTAAGACAGTGTGTCAGCTAAGAAATACCCTGATTCCATTTAAATCTAATTATTAACACATTGCCGCACATTTTTAAATTGACGACCGTGCTTAGAAATGCATTTTTTTTTTCAGTATAGCCATCATTTGTGGCAATATGTTAATATGATTTTCTCAATTAGCTGTAAAACATTATATTATCCTTTGCTTCATGGTTATAGCAAACTCATGTTTTATTGTAAAAGTATTGAGTATTCAATAACTTTAAATATTTTCTTTTTAAATATTGCATATGTAAAAAAAAAGTGTGTATGTTGCTGTGGCGTTGGAATTCACTTATAGCTTTCACCAGGAAGAGATTACCTATATTTCTCCCTCAGAAATTTTTTAACCACTAGAGTAACTTGACCTTTGGCATAGTAGCATAGCTCCCTCTGGTAGCTATGGACTATGCAACCAGAACTCCCTGAACAGTGTTAACCATCAACATACAGTGTCCAAGCAATGCTTGCTACGATTAACTTTTAACCTCTCTGTGTTCCTTTCACATTTTCATTTGTTTTCCTTCTCAGGAAAAAAGTTAGCATGAATCTTTGATTTTTATGTTTTTTAAAGTGCACTGCAGTACACAACACAACTGGCATAGGTTTTTTTTTAACTTCTTCTACACCATCCATATTGGTTGTGTTGTTGGAACAAGTTGTTTTCCCCTCTGGAGTATTTAATGGTTTTGTATAGTGTATTCTATTAAAGGTAAACATTTAGGTTATTTTGTACTTCTTTTTGTTCAATTAAATTGCTACTGTGAGCACTTTTGTACATGTTTTCTGGTACATAAGTGATTCTCTGGGGTAAATTTTCCAGATTATCGATTATAACTAAATCCATGCACTAGGCTGTATTTTTATTTTTTTCTTTAATTTGATATATTAAAAAAAAAACCCAACTCTTCAACTTTTAGTGTCACTTGTTTTCGTAGTATTGTAGATCTGTTACAGAACAGAAATATTTTACTACTAACTCCTAAGATAATACATTTGCTTTTGAAAAGTCATTGTGCTTTAGATTTAATTAAGTAGGGAGTAACTATCTCTTTTGACTTTCCATAGTTGAAATAAATCCTTAATGGGAGGGAGCTCTGATGGCCTGGTACAAGAAGCTGCGCTGCAATCGCAAAGGCCCAGAGTTCGAATACACCAGGTGCTCCGCTGGAAAAGGAGGGGCAGTCTCCTCCTGTGCCAGTTGAATCCAATTTGACAGTACACAACAAGGGAAAAAAAAAGACCATGACTCAATAAATAATTATTAAAAAATCATTAATAGGGAAGCTAGTTTTTAGAATGCAGTATAGTTAGACTAGGAAGGTTCTACTTTCTTTTCACTATGAGCCAATAGTAGGCCAAATTTAAGTTATAATGTTTTAATAGTTTTTGGTTGTAGTTGCAAGTCATCAGATTCTCAGAAAGCTTGGAGGCAGAGTGATGATATGCTAGTGTTAAACAACCATGTCTGTGTTGTCAGTGGGTTCAGTCAGTTGGCCAGGTAACATTTCTAGGTCTTTGAGCAGCACATCAGGAAGAGTTAATAATATTTGGCACTGAGAGTAAGGGACAGGGGAGAGAGAGTGGTGTATGCAGATCATGATGTTGATGATAATGATGATGATGATGGTTTCGGTGGCATTTGCCATTGGGTCAGTTCTTCCTCACAGCTATCCTCCATTGGATTTCCACCAGTGTAATTTTTTTGAGAAGCTACTGCAGCTTTAATCCCCTGAGAGTCAGTGGTAGATTCCAATTGCCAACCTCTCAGTTAGTAGCCCAACTAGTTATGGACTACATTACTTTTATTTCCTCCCACATCCTCTGTGAAGAGAATACCAGGGCTGTCACAAGAGGGCTTAGATTCCATCTTTTACCACTGCTTTCCTCTGCGTCATGTTTAAAAATAAAAATGTAGACTAGAGTCCTTTACATAATACTTTTCCATGAAACTTAAGTTTAAATGACATACACATTTTCATATATATATATATATATATATATATATATATGAATGTGTGTGTGTGTGTGTGTGTGTATTATATATACTGGGCTGAAATGTCTCCATTTCAAATAGTTATTCTTATTGTGTTGTGTTGTTGTTTCTTTTAACGCCTCTCTGATAATGTAAATAGTGGTATGATTTAATAGTTTAAAGTTATAGAGGAGCTCTTGTGTCCCAGTGATAAGATACACTGCAATTCCAAAGGAATGAGATTCTAATCCATCAGCTGCTCTATGAGAGAAAGATAAGAAGTCTCCTCCCATGTGATTTACTGCCTCTGAAAATCCACTGAAGGTTCAGCTTCCGACTTGACGACACACAGTACAACAACAAAGTTAAAACAAAAATTATGTTTTAGTAGAGACAAATTGAGTAGAATATTATTGGCTAATATTTGTTTTTATAGCATATTATTTTATTCATTGGAATGCCTTTTTTATGTGTTAAAAGTTTTTAAGATCTCTCTTATGCCAGAGATATTTTTGACAGATTCTTTTGAGGTATCCTAAATTTATATCTATCTGAAGAATGCTAGTTACAAAATGGAGGGTGAAGTGACTGCCATGTTTTCATAAGTATGATTATAATTGCAAATTAAAATATATAATTTTTTTTTAATTTGAAAAAGGTTGGAGGCGAGACAGAGAAAAGAGAGATGACCAAGATGAAGTTTCCAGTGTGAGAAGTGAGGGTTGTAATATCCGAGGTTCCTTTCGAGGACGAGGACGAGGCCGGGGAAGAGGCCGAGGACGAGGCCGTGGCAATCCTAGACGTATGGCATATGTTTTTTGTATTGTTAAATTATATGGATTTTGAAAAGAGAGTCCTCACACTTTATTAATTTTTCTTCACTAGAGTATTTTTTTTAAATCTAGTAATAGATAATTTTACATTTGTTACCCCTTTATAATTTGTATCAGAGTAACTATTTTTTCCAATCTTAATCTTTGATTTCTTTTTTCTTAATTAACATCAAGTAAACTTTGATTATTCATATGGTTATCGAGAACATGATGAAAGGACAGATCAACCATTTCAAACAGAACTAAATACCACTATGATGTATTACTATGACGATGGTACAGGTGTGCAAGTATATCCTGTGGAAGAGACATTGCTTAAGGAGTATATTAAGCGCCAAATGTAAGTCCATGCCAGAAATAAGGTGAAATAGTAGAGTCTCAGCAGTACCAATCCTTAATGCCATTGGTAATGAAAATTTTACTTTTCTATGTTTATCATTTGTTGATAAAAGTTGGGGAGTTTTTTTTTTTTGTTGTTGTTGTTGTTTTGCATATTTTACTATGTTCCCCCTGCTGGAATAGCCTAGTAAAATAGGTATTGGATGTAAAAGTGCAATAGTTTTTTATTTGCTTATAAGCCTCCTGCTTTCTCTACTTCTTAGATATTTTTCTGCTTTAAAGGATGGTTAATGTAATTGCATAACATGGATAAATACATAAGCATATAAAACCTCTGTTATTTGAAAATGGCTTATTTGCAAGTAGTTGTTTTTATTAACATTTGTAAATGAATGACAAAGCAATAGTATATATTTTTACTTTCTTAGCAGTTGACTTTTAAATTTACATCTTTTAAATTCTTTATGACACAATAAAGAGGCAGAGTATTTAGTTTTTAAAGTAGTTGCTTTCTGACTACTGAAGTTGAACGAGTGTCAATTTTTTCTGTTGTCTGGTTAAAATTTCCCTGTATTTTAATAATCATATACTTTGCATATATATTTAGTGGTGAGAAAACATTCCAAACTTAGTTTCATACCTAACGGAAAGAAATTTTAATTTTTATATGCTTTTAAGGTAAAGGAAAAAAATAATTAGCCTGTTTTTTTGAAAGAGGTATAATTTTTTACAACATCTACTGTTTACTAGAAGATCATTTCATGAGTATCAACTGGGCACCTTCATGATGGATTTAATTGGTTTATGATAAGAAGCAACTTGTTTATTTTGTTGCAAACACTGAGGATAAGAGCTTTTTATGTTTAGAAAGTGCTTAGAATGTGGCTGTCAGCTTCAGACCACTATTTCTTTTTTTTGTAACTCTTGCTTCCTGGTCCCTGCCCTGAAAGCAGATATGCATTCCATGTCAGAATATTAGGACTCCACAGTGTGTCTCACTAAGTGAGGGAGGAGCAGAGTTACTTTAGTATTGACAAAATTTCTGATTTTGCAGTATACAGTCTAGAACAACTTCTAAGGTAGACCATGATAATGTCCCCTACGGCACTGAGCAAAATGTCAGGCATGACTTTGGTCACGATACTTTGTTGTTGTCATCACTGTCAGTAGGATTTGTTTCCTGGTCTAGGCTGACTCTTTAATATTATCATTCTTTGATTCACAGAGATCTGGCTTCAGGGAGTCATACTTACTGTCATTGAGAGTTCCCCTGCATGGATAGGGTTGAAATTTTTCTTTTTGAGAAGTCACTAGAAAGCATTGCTTTATATTTGTGGAAAAATGGTACTAACTCTATTTTTACAGGAACCCCCAACAACCTAAAAAATTCTCTAATCATTCTGAGTAAGTTGATTATTTAAAGTGAAAATTTATAATAATAATAATAAAATTTATTTTTGATGTCAGAATATTAAACATTTTAACTCTTCTACCTGAAGCATCTTTTACTGCATATAGGAGTTGTGCTTGATATGTTTGTATTCCATTGAAATTGTTAAATATATATTATTATAGGTAACAGAGTGAACTTATGTATTTATCTTAGTAGTTTCATTTCTAGACAGTATTATATTAAAAGGGCAGCTTATTATATAATCAATAGAGAGTTAATGATGCTTGAATATGACTGAGTCATATTTTAATGTCCAAAAATGAAGAAATTAAATTCAGTGCATGCATTATGAGTATGAATAAGTATGAATTGTATTGATGAGAAGCTCTTTCCTTCATTTGACTTGAGCTTTTTTTGGTTAGTCAATTATTTTTTAGTATGAAACTATAATTTTTAAGTAAGTATCTCTGAAGGTTTTTAATAGATTTTAGTTAATTGATCACACAGTTTATCCATTTACATTTCTCTGTCCTAAAGTAGGACCCTTTTCTGTATTTCCCCCCTTTCTACCTCATAGTAAGTATAGTCCTTATTTAGCTATATTGGATTCTGTTCATTCTTACTGTTTTTCCTGGTTCTGTACCTCATGGAAAAGTGGGGGGAATTTGAACCATTCAGCTATAAAATATGTATGTGCACATACACATGTGTCTATTGCATAGACTAGGGTTGAGAAAAATAAAATAATGTCAGAACTCTGTAATTTTTGAACATTATTCTCTGCTCTGTAGATAGTGTGAATTTCACTACAAATTTTTTCATTATACTTTTGTCATGTTGATAAGTTGAAAGTGAAATTGACATGTGTTTAACTTTTATTTGTTTTTAAATGATGCAAGTAGAAATACTTTTGTAGTGAAATTACATGTAACTGACTCATTTAAAATAACTGGACTATTTTAAGTAAAATTATTACACTTTAAGTTTAATGTTTTGGGAAGTAATTTTTTTCATTGTTGTAGAAGATATAAATTTAGTAGATTCTCTTTTTTCCTGTAACTACTTGTATATTTTTATATCCCCTTTAATGTTACATTGTTTATGTTATATATTGTGAAATCTATATAATGTTACTAATCAGATTAAAAAAAATTAAGTATTGTTCTTTCTTCTTCTTTAGTGGAGGAAATTTATATTTACTTTTACTCCTTCAGTGAATATTACTTCAGTACAGAAAATTTGGAACGGGACTTTTTTCTTAGAAGAAAAATGGATGAACAAGGTTTCTTGCCTATTTCCTTGATTGCTGGTTTCCACCGTGTTCAGGCTCTCACCACAAACCTTAATCTCATTTTAGAGGTAATTATACATTTAATAATAAACTGTAGTTGTGTAAGGCTATGACTGTATAAATGGCTTCTGCCATTTCTTAAAAACCCTTATAAATATCTAATCTTGGAAAACTTCTCAAAAAATTGCTAATGAGATCTTCATCTGTTGCCAGTCTGATCCTTCAAACTTAAACCTAATTGGGTATTTTTGGTCCTTTAATCTTATTCAGTTTCCTACAAAATAGTTTATGTTTTCGTTTAGTAACATTTTGGGTCATTTTTCCTATGCTGTTAAAAATACCCTCTAAACCAAAGAGCTGTTGAGTCTGTTCCAACCTGGTATTCCTCTACTGGGCTTCGGAGGCTGTCAGTCATTATGGGAAGATACTGCTCTATTTTCTTCTGTGGAGTAGTTTAAGAGATTCAAACTTTTGACCTATTGGTTGTCTGCTAGACATATTAGGCATAATACCGCTAAGTTACCTTATAAATTAAAATAATTTTTTTTTTCATTTTTCTATCTCCTGTACTATTGACATAACAAATTGACTGGAGGCCTAGTGGTAAGGCACTACACTGCCAACTCAAAGGCAGGTGGTACAAATACACCAGCAGCTCCAAAGATAAAGATAGACATTCTTCTCCTATGCAGTTCACAGCCTTTGAAAATCCACAAGAGGGTAAGCTATGAGTTGGTTCTGACTTAATGGCACAAAGTAGCAACATGCCATTGACAAGACTTAAAGCAAATAATCACAAAAGGAAGAAAAGGATTTTGTTGTTGTTGGAGTGATTTGAGACATTCTGAAAGGCAAGAAACTTATTAACAGAATAAACTAGAATGTCAACTTTATTATTTTCCCTATCTCTCTGCCTGCCTCCCTCAAAAAAAGGAAAATAAGAGGCTTAGATGGAAAGAGAAAAATAATAATGTTGAATATGGAAAATTAAGTCATTGAGTGAGAGGGTACAATATTGAACAAATGAAAGTGATATTTGACTAAATATGCTACAATATGTGTTAAGGGCAAATAAATTATTACTGCAGGATTTGGTTTTGTATCAGAGTCTATTAATTGAGGTCTTGGTATAGCTTAGATATCTGCCAATTATATAATCTTGCAAGAACATTGTATCAGACAAGTTTTAATTTCTACTTTTGAACATTTTCAGAAGATAGTTAATAATGAATTTCTAAAAGCTTTATAATATATACAAGTAATTCTTTGATTTCTGACTTTTGAGACTTATTTGTGAATTGTATAAATCAAGTTCTTTCCTTTTTTGCGCAGTAGAATTTCACTGTGTTGAAATTCTAGATATATAGCTAATTCTAGATACATAGTTAATGTATGTTTTCTTCTATTGATGATTGCTCTGACTTAATAATATCCTGTGAGAGTTTTTCCTGTTTTGAATTTCTAGGATATCTTTTGAATTACTTGTCTTTAGAATAATAACTTTCCCACCCAACTCTGCTTAACATCAAGAAAACAAATTCTCACAAATAGACAATCTTATGATAGATGGAGAAAGGATTGAAACAGTTAAATACTTCATTCCACTTGGATCCACAGTTAACACACTTAGTACCAATGGTCAGGAGATCAGGAGAGAAGTATTGCATTGGGAAAGTCTGCAGTTAGGGACCTCTCCAAATTACTGAGGAACAGTGACTTCAATTTGAAGGTGCACTTGATTCAGGCAATGATCTTTTCAATCATTTGCTATGCACTGAAGACCTGGACAGTGAATAAAGATGACAAGAAGAATTGATGTCTCTGCACTGTGGTATTGGAGAAGAGTACTAAATACCCCTTGGACTGCCAACAGAACAAACAAATATATCTTGAGAGGAAGTACAATTAGATTGTTCCTTTGAAGCAAAGATGACAAAGCTTCCACTCACATAATTTTGGGCATGTTTTTAGGAGAAGCTATTCCTTGTGTGGTGTCAACTTAAAACTTGGCCTTTTTTTAACCTTTTAGCCTCTGGTCTCCAACTACCTTTATTGCAGACACATAGTCTTACAAAGCAGCATGATCTTGAAAATTGCATCAGCTTTGAGACTAGGATAAGAGAAAGAGTACTTCCCACATTGGGAAGCAAGATTTGAGATGGGCAAGACCTGAGGTGAGCAAGGCTTGTGGTGGCAAGACCCTGGTGATAGATAGACTGTGGCATTGCTGTGGACAAATTGTGGCTCTTGCATTTATGTTGGCCATAATTAAAGGTTTGGCTCTTCTTGCGGATGTTTGAAGGAGAAGCTGACTTATAACTGCTCTGAAGCAAACCTTGTTGGATGATTTGGTTATAGCTATTCTGATGTAAACCTTGCTGGATGATTTAGATTTGCCTCCTGAACTGAAACTCGAGCCTGGGCTCATTGAGGAATTAGGCTTTGGAACTGCTGAACTTGTATTGTGAGATATTTTTTTACTCTCCCACTTCCTTCCCTGATAAACCCCATTCTCGGTACCATAACTTTGTGTCTGTGAGTCAGCAATGAATAAAAGAACCTCTTGTTGTGCATGCTCTACAGGCGCCATAGGGCTGGGCTATGGACTGCTTTGTGCTCTGGGACAGTGAGGGGCTATTCTATTCTCATTCCCTCTGGCCCTTTCAGAAAGACATTCCCAGCCCTGTGCTACTATGTCCAGTTTGTCCTCTCCCCCTTAGAAAGGGACATAATCCTTGGAAGGATGGAGGGTTAGCAAAAGAGGAGACCCTCAGCCAGATGAGTTGACACAGTGACTGTAGCGGTGGGCCCAGATGTATCAGAGAGGATGAGGATGGCCTATGTTAGGACACAGTTCAGCTGATCTGTTGTTCATAGGGTCATTATGAGTTCTGCTAACTTTGATGACATCTAACAACAGTTGTATAAAATATTAGTGGTGATGTTAGGCCATCTAGTTGACCACGATTCCTTATATGAGCCCATTGCTTGAGACTGTGACTACTTTTAAGCTTGAGCCCATTGTTAAAGTCATTGTGTCGATTCATTTTGTTAAAAGTTACATACTAAAGCTGCATTGCAGTCCCAGAAGGTGTGTAATTTGAATCCACCAGATGCTGTTCTGGAGAAGAAGGGACAATCTCCTCCTGTACCAGTCAGATCCAATTTGACAGTACACACACAAGCAAATTATAAAAAAAAAAAGAGTTACATACTATACTAATACTGAGAACATGCTAATGTAAGTTGTTTTGTTTTGCAAGTTAGCATAAAATGCGTTATGCCATCAGGGCTCTTCCAAATGTAAGGTTTTTAAAGAGACGTATAACATGTTCTTAAATTAATATATACTGGCTGCCATCGAGTTGGTTTTGATTAACTTAGATTCCAAGGCTATATATTTATATGGAAGGACACTGTCCATTTTTCTTCCTCCAGCAGCTGGTGGATTCAACTACTGAACTTTTCTGTGAACTATACCACAAAGGACACATTGAATTAAATAATAGTGAATCTTTTCTAAATTAGAGAATTTATATTATAAATTCTCTATTTATTCTTTTTCAACTCTTTAAAGTTGTATGTATGCCCTTGAGTTTAACCTCATATTCAGATAAATAGTACTTTATTTTTATTTTAAAGAAAAAAGAAATTCTAGCCTGATTTTATTTTACTTTTAAATTACATCACAATTATTTGTGAGAAACACAAATTTAAGAGTTAAAGGTAATTAAGGTAATCATTTGGGTCCTGATGCTGCCTCACTAAGAAGGCTGCTTATGCCTTGATTTTTTTTTTTTATTTATTTTTTTGTGTGTGTACTGTCAAATCGGATCTTACTGGTACAGGAGGAGATTGCCCCTCCTTCTCCAGCAGAGTACCTAGTGGGTTCAAACCGCAAATGTCTGGCATTGCAGTTGCAGCTTCTTGCCACTAGGCCACCAGAGCTCCCTTGCCTTGATTTTTTAATCTATGAATTCGAGGTGATACTTACCTGTAGTTATTGAGAGGAAAGGTCTGCATGCTTGGTACTTATCTAGTAGATAGTAATTATCAGTATAATAATGTTGTTGTTGTTATGTGCTGTCAAGTCACTTGCGACTCATAGTGACCCTATGTACTGCAGCCCTAAACTCTTCTCTGTCCTGTGCCAATCGCATTGTCTCTGACACTCCCATCCCGATTACCCCAGTCACTGAATCAGTCCACCTCATAGAGGGCCTTCCCCTCCTGCTCTATCCCTCCACCCTCCCAAGCATGATGTCCTTCTCCAAGGACTGGTCTCTCCTTATAACATGTCCAAAGTATGTTAGATGGAGTCTCAGAATCCTTGCCTCCAAGGAGCCACCCGGTTTAACCCTTTCCAGGATGAATGTGTTTGTTTTACTAGCAGTCCATGGTGCCCTCAATACTCTTCTCCAGCACCACAGCTCAGATGCATCAATTCTCCTTGTATCCTCTTTGGTCATTGTCCAACTCTCTGATGCATAACAAGTGATTGCAAAGACCATGGCCTGTATCAGACACACCTTAGTCTCCAGAGTGGCATCGTTGCTCTTCAGTACCCTGGAGAGGTCCTTAACAGCAGACTTTTCCATTGCAATGCATCTTTTCATTTCCTGGCTGCTGGTGCCAAGGGTGTTAACTGTGGAGCCAAGCCGACTAAAGCTGTGAACAATCTCAATCTCTTCACCATCCATTCTGATGCTGCCAGTTGGCCCAGTGATGAGAATATAATATTGGTACTAGTAACAGTCAGGAAATAAGGAGAGGCATTGCGCTGGGAAAATTTGCAGTTAGAGACCTTTCCAAATAATTGAGGAGAAATGATGTCAGTTTAAGGACTAAGGTACGTCTGATTCAGGTCATAGTCTTTCTGATTACATGCTATGCATCTGAGAGCTGGACGAATAAGGATGACAGAAAAGTAATTGACACCTTTGAGCTGTGGAACTGGAGAAGAGCACTGAACATCCCATGGACGGCCAAGAGAATGAACAGCTATATCACGGAGAGGTTGCAGGTGGGGTGCTCACTGAGACAGGAATAATGAGGCTTCACCTAACATACTTTGGGCATATTGCTAGGAGGGGCTATTCCTTGGAGAAGAATATGATACTGGGAACGGTGGAGGGTCTGTGAAGAAAAGGAAGACCCTCGACAAAGTGCATTAACATGGTGACTCTTGAAATGTGTCAGAAAGTGTGAGGATGGGTTCAGATCTTCTGTTAATAGAGTCTTCCTTGACTCAGTGGCACCTAACAACAATAACAACATTGTTTAAGTTGAGCAAGAGGTGTGAAAATAAAACTTAATTGAGAATAAAAATATTTTGCTATTGTTGATATAGTAATCCATAAATAATGATAGTGAAAATTATCTGCATTAATAGTCTGATAGGATATTTATTTATTACAGGGACAAATTATTCAAGTGTTTCAATACTTGTGAAATTCTGTTTGCTAGGCATTAAAAGATAGCACAGAAGTGGAAATAGTGGCTGAGAAGATGAGAAAAAAGATAGAACCAGAAAAATGGCCAATTCCTGGCCTTCCTCCACGTAGTGTGCCACAAACAGACTTCTCTCAACTAATTGATTGCCCAGAATTTGTACCAGGTCAAGCCTTTGGTTCTCACACAGGTAACAATTTTTCTTTCCTTTAGAGCAGAGACTATAGTTGAAAACTCTCTATTACTTATTTATTGTTAATTATTAGGTAAAGGTACATGACTTTTGTGCTGTAATTTCTATTCATATTGCCTCCCACATAGAGCTGTCAGTTTAAAAAGAAATTGATGAAGTGTTATTCTATTGATTGTCCTTAAATTATGTGTATACTTTGTCACATGAGGTTTTTCACCCATTTCCTTTTTCTTTCAGGAAGTTAAACACATGCTTTGCTAGTTTTCCCTTGTAAACTTACCACAATGTAGATATTTTTAGGTATTCAGGAATGGAGAAGGCTTCATTTGATTTTTGTTGCTAGTATTTTCAGTCTGTTTTAAAAGTCAGATTACCTAACTGTAAAACAATTAGAATTCTCTTAAGGAAATTATAGTACTGTATTCCAAACATGATTGTGTTGAGAGTTTGTAAAATCTACTTAAATGTTGTTTGTTTGTTGTTGTTTTTTTAATTTCTGGATTATTTTTAAGCCATTTCCTTTTGGGGAAAAATATGTGTCCTTAAACTTTTTTCAGTCAGGGTGATGATCTGTTAATGATATTGGATGACTTTTGATCAGAATATGCAGTGGAATAATAGGTGAATCACTGAAATGTCAATATTGGAACAAGCTGTGTTGCAGAAGTGAGAGTGGCCAAGACTGTCTTCAGTTCATGTGAAGAAGGTTGGACCAGCAGCAATTCATTGGAGATAACCACCTTTGTGATGATGACCGACTGACTAGAAGACTGTTAGTGCTTTTATAGGAGCTGCCATTTGTGTATAATTAGCCTGGCCTACATGGCTATTTTTATTTATGATGAGAAAGTTAATTATTATCATTCTGGAAATACTACAAGATTCTTTCTTTTCTTCCAGAGTTGTGTATATTTGTATGCGGAAATAGACTTGAATGGCATTTCTCAGATTTTTAGGTCCTTTGATTTGCCACTCAATATAATTTATATTGCATAATACAGATGCTGTCATAATATTTCACGTGAACCATAAGACTTATTAATTTTGATATTAAGGGGTAAGAAATTAAAGAAATGAATGAGGGTACATTTTCTTTATTTGTCCACATATATTTTTGATAAATCAGTATAAAATCTGACCTTCAATAAAGTTATTAATGATTGACATTTTCATAGATTTTTTTTTTTTTATCTTGTTTTCTCAACTTCTTGAAATCCCACCAAGTAGCTTGGGTAGCGGGTATTAGAAAAGTTGAAGAAAAAACTAGCATTGTTTATTTATTTATTTACATTGTATAAACTTGGGGTATAAGATGACATTTTTAACTTGCTTACATTGCATTCAATAAATTAGGTAAAATATAGAAGATTCTTTTCCACAAGGTAGTTATGTGAGGTCACTTAAGCAGTT